TCAAATCGTTTGAAAGAGTAAAATGCAGTAAATATGTGGTATAGAATCCAGTCCTAAAACTGGAGGGTGATCTTACATTGGACTCACTTCGGTCAACATCGCTCATGGCTTCTAAGCCACCGCACATATTGGGGGTCCAACCCAATTAAACCCATCCTGAAGGTCTAAAGATTTCAGAACCTCTCTGTTTAAGGGTGATTAAACAGATGGCTCCAGAATCCACAAAGAGTTCGCTATACTGTCCAAGGAAGATATGAGCGAGGTATGCCAACGGAATAATGGTAGTCTGGCCCACTAAGGACATGGACACACTACTGATGTTTGAAAACAGAATCACTTAATCAAAATGGAGAGAGGAACTAATCCCCAGCGGAGTCGCCAGAATTTGTCGGTCGCCAAATTAGAAATTGTCGGTCGTCGGAATGGATATCCCGACGCCCGATTTTAAAAGAGATTTAATTTAATTTATATATATAATTTCAAAAAAATTAAAATATTATTTTTTTTTCAAAATATATATATAAATTAAATTAAACCTATTTTAAAATTAGGCGTCGAGATATCTATTCCGGCGACCGACAATTTCTAATTTGGCGACTGACAGCAAATTCAAATAAACGCTTGTGGAAATTGTATTTCTTTAAAAAAAATGGCTCTCAAAGCTAGTGTTAAAAACCAAAATGATGAATGTTTATTTTGTAGAAAACGACAAATTATATGTGAATGATATTGCGGCCAAGTTGAACTGGCTCAATTGTTTTCCTACAGAGTTGTTTGCCAAATTTGCAAAAACAAGTCATCCATAATTTAACAATAAGAAAAAAGAAGTAGATTTAAGCTTTCAAAGGCTTCATATCAATTTTTGGGTGGCTGTTCAGCTCAAGTTGTGCAGCTTAATTCAACAAGGTGTCATACAAAAGGAGGTTTCCCTTAATTCTAGGCTTCGCAGCATGTTAGGCGGTGCTATAACATTTTTGTACGACAAGTTCGATAGCATGTGAATTTTTTAAGGGTCATCTAAAAACCTAATTTTGTTACATCTCTTGTCAAAGAGGAATAAATAGTTAATTTCAATTTCTCATAAACTCTCCTAATCTTTTATGATCTTTGTTTTCTTATTGTAATAAAACTTGTTTATGAATGAAAAACACATTTGATAATTCCATCTACTCACTCGTCCCAAGATAATCAATGTATTATGATCTTACTTTTCACAACTTTTGTATACATTTGATCTGTAAAGTTGGCATTTCTCTTTTGTCAAAAAATCAGCCTCAAGTGTTGCGATTAAACTTCATCAATTTTGTTCCTAAAAATAGTACTCAATTCTTATTAAAGTCTGCATTTAGCCTTATTGTTGAAGTTGGCATTAGCGTTACTAACTAGTTCAAAAGTGGTGCGGTGCTTTGATTTCCAATTAAATTCGATATGATTAAGAAATCTTCTGACATGCCAAAGCCTTTAATAACAATTTAACACAATAAGGAATAATAACCACTGAGGCTAACCTGTGGCTTAATTATAAATATGTCTCTATTTGTATTTATTTTCATTCATGCATTATGAAATACTAAGCCTCCTAAATCTATAATACTCTATATGCATATGTTCTTGATGTTCTTCCATGGTTTTGCACCTCCAAGATCAATTTATTTCTTTTCTCTTTTTTCTTAAAAAAGTGACACTGACACAGTTGCTACAATTATTAGCTACAGCAAGGAAACTTTGAAGTCGTGCTGAAAATTTGTCTTCAATGACAAAAAGGTCAATGTAGTATGTGATATTGGACTTGAAACTCAATCGCAATTTCAACTTCAGGGCACTCAAGTTGGACAGGACCGCAACAAAACATTTGACAAAAAGCCTACTTCAATCGTGACTAATTCCGTCTTAGCACTTAAATTTCATTCTTTCCTGAGTTTACTAAAATCTTCAAATTCTATGAGATCATATTGGCCCAAGTGATGTATAAATCTTTTGTCAATTTTAATATATTCATCATATTTATCTGATGGTAGAAGGTGAATTTGAGACTAAATTTTTTTGCTGCATGTTCACTATCAAGGTGGCTACAATATTTTTTTCATCTGACTAATCAAAATGAAGGGAATAAAATTTAAGTTGATCCAAGGGATCCTAAAAAAGATGGATAGAAGAAAGCTTCATATGTTTGTGATGCGAGGACAAATCTTTAGCAAGAAAGCATGAGAAGACTAAGATATCCTTTAAAAGGGAAGAATTACAAGCTAGCTAAGATTTGGGATGCAAAAAAGGGTACTAAAATAAAAATCAACAATGCCATTGCTATTTTAAAGGATGTTTTGGCCAAGAATGATGCTTCTCTTGCAAGGACAACCAAGCAAAGTAAATATGAAAGGACTCTATTTTGTATACCCAAGGCCAAGCCAGATAGGTTCAAGAATAGGGCTCGTAGCCGAGCTTAGAACAAACTTGTCAGTTGTTTCCTGCGCAGACTCATCGGTCGGGTCCAAGATAAAAATGCTAGCAAACTGCACAATGGAACATCTACCTCGGCTCCAAAGATACTCAACCAATGATCTCATCAAGCTCAATCAGCCAACCCAGGATAGAGCTATTCTCCAACTATTCTCGGGTGACTCAACGACTTCTTCAAGCACAATAGTCGAATACCAGTTCAAGTCCGAGTTTGTATTTGGATCAAACTTCCCTTTTTATTTTGTATACTTTTCCATATTTATCACATGGATAACCTATTCTGTAGCAATTACCATAGCACTCGAGACCTCAGTTACTCATCTATAGATAAGGAATCTCATGAATAGCAGAGGATTTTGAAAGTTGAGTTATTATTCCTCTGATTTTATACTATCTTAAGCACGATAATGAATTTTCCCTTCCCATAACTCATCTTTGTTCTTTTATACCCGTCTCCTTTTCATTTCCTATAAGTTAGTAAAGTTTTAATTCAACCAACGCATAAAATAAAATCCAATATCCTAAAATGTCCAATGATTGTGAATCTAAATCAAAAATCAGAAAGGACACCCATAAATCTATAGGAGCCAACACAGGTGCAATTGTGAAGAAAGTGCAAGTTCACTTTTCAAGAATGTATTATCATTGAGAAGTAAAATGAATACTTTAGAGTCTAGGTTAACTAACTACGGGTCTATTAGGAGAGATAATGCTTGCTCTATGAAAAAATTTCACACAAAATACCTTGAGTTAGCATCTTCACATAATAGTTAAGATGATAAAATCAATAAACTAAAGACAATTGTCGAGACTTTTAGTCAAGAACATTGAGCTAAAGTGATTCATGTGTATCAAAGTATTTGGATAATATATTTTTGCTTAGATAGTTTAGTGTAGCAAGATCTTTCAAGGTCCAGTTGAGCTGATAAAAACAATTTTAATAACAATTTTATTATTATTATTATTATTAAAGAATGAATACCATATAAGTGATGATAATGACCCCAAGCAAATTGCATCATAGCCATTTCCTTTTTCCTAGTTTATGTTGCAAGGAGTCCAAGTTGAATATAATGCTACAAGACTTGTCATGTGTGTAAAGAAAATTTTATCTATAAAACTGAAAAATATTTCTATATGGTCTTCCCTTCAGTTTTTATAATTAAAAATTTTATTTTTCTATTTTGTTAGTTTGATGAGTACATCTAAGATATGCAAGCAAATAAACCATAGGCAAAAACATTTCATAACATCATTGATAATGAGTATAAAAATGACATGCTCGGCTAAGGCCCTCGCATGTGCATCTTGAATATAAATTGGAGGTTGGGTCATAGTAATCTCAACTAAGGAAGGCATTAGCTAATTGAGACAGACAATTGTTAGGTCGGCTAGGAAGAGGAGCTTCTTCAATGCTATCCTTAGGATATCACAACTCATTCTGGTCCGATTTGGTGCAATGACTGGTTGAGAGATTAGCGATGATGAGAAAAATAGGATGTTGAGCCATGCTCTTAGGAAGAGCTAGAAAAATTGACTACTTGACAATATCTCTTAATGATTCCCCAAATCATACAAGTAAGAAGGTCCTCCATGTTCTAAAGCTGCTCAAAATGACAAAATCATTACTATTATGATTCCCTACAAGCAAAGCTCTATAAGTCAACATGTGGCCTAGTTCTTGGACTTTAGATTATTTATAATCTCACCATCTTTAAGGTCGTTGAATTTAAAATTATCTATGCAGTACACAAATTTGGATAAAGCCTAAAGGAATAAAAGTGAAAAAAGAGTGAGAAATAACCAAACAAAAAATTTCTTTCTTTAATTAGGAATTATATGATTATAGAGAATTAAACTGTAGGAAACTTCAGATGATAGAGAGTTGGCCAAAAAAATAAATAATAAGGTCACATGACATGTCTTACCCATGCCCAATCATTGACACTCAATTTATAAGTAGAAGCCAAAGTCAATGACAAGCAAATAAGCAGAAAAGTGCATGAATTATCTCAACATAGCTGTTGTTTGAGCGACTGAGTTTGTTTGACAATTGTGTGCAGGGGGGCAAATTCGAAGAAAAGTGCGAGTGCTCCCGGTAAGTTTTCATGGTGAGAGTCCCCTACTTGGCGGGCCTTGGACAAGTAGGCTAGATCTCTAGGAAGAACAGCTTTGCCAAGTAGGCACTTTTCAGAGTCCTGTAGGTGGGTTCAATGTTTGAGCTTTGAGGTTCAAGTAAGACTTTTTACTCTTAGCAATTTGATGAGCGCCAAATGATAGGAAAAAAAAGAAAAAAAATGCATAAGGAATGCATCTCTTTACAACCACATGTTACAACAAGCTTCATGAAAACATTAATGAGTAAAATTCTCCGCAATACACTAAAACTTTCTCCATTTCCTTGAAGGACTTTATTGGCGCGAAATATTCATAAAATTAATAGCATATCTCGGCCGCGTCAGAGAATTAACAAGCGAGTTCTTAAAATTTTAGCAGAGACAACCATTGCAAAAAATATGGAGATACAGAAGGAAAGGCCTTGCCTTGCAAATAGATAGTTAAAAAGAGCCGTCCTCGCTCCCCCTACGTGGAGATTTCCGGTGGGAGACGGCGCAAATCGGACACGAACTTCGCTGTTTCTAGGGCTGGCTGTGGCGGAGGCTGAGACGGAGAAATTCCTGCGGCAAAGGGAGAGGCCGGGACCGAATAGGAAGCATTGCCTGAAAGAGAATGTCGGAAGCTCGTGTAAAACCCTAATTCGAAGCCATGGCGATCCGCCGAGGCCCGCCATTGCCATTCGCTCGCGTCCTGGGGGATGGGATGATTTGAGTGAGAATTAAATTAGGGGTTGTTGGTAAATCATATTATTAATGGCCGGGGACCGTTTTTGTGGCTTTTATATTGAGAAACCCGAGAAGTTTGTAAATATTTTATTTCACGTGTTTTGTTAATCGGGTGCTCCTTTGTCACACGTGTCGTTGAGCTCAAAGTTGGTTCTGTTATCTTTCCTTCATTTGGCGTCATCGATTTATTGTAACCTTCTGGTGATGTTTTCTACTTTATGCATTTTTTTTTTTTATTTGGTGGTTCATTCGCTGTTTATCTTTGTGTTTCTTGTTTCTTCAGTAAATTTTTTTTAATTGATCTGCATATCATCTATTAATATTTGATGGTCGAATTGTTTGCTCTTTCTCTTGCATATGTGTGGATGAATATTTTGTGGGAGATTTCTAAGCAACCATCTGTTTTCTCTTATCATATTGCATATGTCTTGATACAAAGTTGAAGTTTGCAAGATAGATTAGTTAGCAGCAAATATATTAATTCTGATCAAGTAGTATAGAAGCTATGGAATTAAAAATATATGAGCATTGTACATTTGTTTCTTTAATAATCTTTGTGTACTTGTTTTACTTATGCTTACACTCATGTTTGTTGTTTGTTAGTTAATTTACTTACACTTGCCTCCTATACAGAGTTGATTAACATTTTGGGAGGAGAATATTGAGCACTGCTTATCTTTTTTTAAAATATGAAATAATTTTATAAATGAGATTGTTTATGTGTTTTGTAAATTTGAAGTTTGCATTAAAGACAATTTAACATCCATAATTACCTTGATGAACCATTAGAATATATGATATTAGTTATATTTGAGATTTGTTTATTTGTTTCTTTAAGAAATTTCTTTTTTAGTTTATGCAATAATTTTACAGATAAAATTGCATATGCTTTCACGTAAATTTATAAGTTTGCATGATAAATAAGCTAACAACATCTATAACAATCATGATCAACAAATATAAGCTACAAAATGAAATAAATATGAGTTTTATTCATCTGCTTTTTAAAAGATTTACTGGGGGAGAATATTGAGCATTGTTTTTTTTTAGTTACCTTCAGTTGAAACTTTTATAAATAGAATTACATATGGTTTACTGCATATTTAAAGTTTGCATGATAGATGAGTTAACAACAATCTTATATATTCTGATCAATCAGTAGAAGCAACAGGATGAAATATATATGAGCAATGCTCATTTATTTATTTCAGTTTTTTTGTTGTTGATTTATTTTCTTTGGTTGGATAGATGAGCACTGGTTTTGAGTTTGTCTAACAAATTTTACTGGTCAAGTTGTTTGTGCTTGCCTCCTTCTCAGTGTGGAGTAACATTTTTGAGGGAGCATGTTAGGCATTGCTTTCTTTTTTTAATTTTCTTCTCTTGAGACTTTTATGAATAAAATTGCATATATTTTGTTGCACCATTTAAGTTTGCATGATAGATAAATTATCAACATATTTACTTGTTTTGATCATTTAGTAAAAGTAATTACGAGCAATGGTCATCTATTTTAGTTTTTTTGTTGGTTTATTTTATTTAGATAGATATATGAGAATTGTTTTCTGTATTTCTAACAAATTTTACTAGTCGAATTGTTTGTTTTTGCCTCATCTTCAGTGTGGAGTAACATTTTGGGGGGAGAATATTGAACACTGATTCTTTTTTCTAGTTTTATTCTACTTAAACTTTTTATAAGTATAATTGCATATGTTTTGTTGCGCATTTGAAATTTGCATGATAGAATAGTTAGCAGGATCAAAAAATTGTTATGAAAACTATATAATGAAATATATTTAAGCATTTGAATGTTAGGCAATAATCAAACAGTAGAAGTTATGGAGTGAAGTACATTTCAGCATTATTAATTTATTTCTTTTAGAATTCTATATGTAATGTACCATTCACTGAGGATATATGTCAAAGAAGATATCAATTCGGGAATATCATTCAAATGTAATGGAAAATAACTATCAAAGGGTTCAACTGCTCGCAACTTGTCAATTTTAAATTAGCGAGGTTGTTTTCCTATAGATACTACATGTCACAAGAGAACACTTTTAAGTGCTTATTCGATATGAGAAAATAGTGATTATGGATATTGTCTTCTTTGGTTGAAAAATCTCATTGGGCTCTAATTATTGCCTCGAGGTCCTGATTTGGCTAACGCGATGCAAACAAAAAATTAATTATGAGTATCTTATCTGACATGTAATTTGAGGGTTTGCATCTATGCATGGATATGTAGAAAACGTACAAAAAATATTTAAAAAAAAACAAACAAGCAATTTTTATATATATTTCATTTCGTTGCTTCTACTGATTGATTATGACTAGTAAAAATACTGCTAACATATCTATCATGCAAACTTCAAATGTGCAACAAAGTGTATGCAATTTTATTTATAAAATTCTCAGCATAAGAAAACTAAAAAAAAAGTAAGCAGTGCTCATATTCTCCCCCCAAAATATTAATATACACTGAGGATGAGGTAAGAACAAAAAAACAATAATACACTTTCAAAATAAAATAATACACTTTCAAAACCTCAAAACAAACATAATTCACCCTTTTTGAACTTACAAGAATCTCTCGGATGAGGTAACCTACAGTTGCTAACGAAAATTATCCAGTCTAAATGAGCTTAACAGTCTGTTTAGGCTAAGTAAATTAAAAAAAAAAACAATAACGTCGGGACTACGAAACCGTGAGATTTTGACTGGTTTCACTTAACTTAAATTAAAATCCCCCAAAACACTCTAATAATAAAATCTAACTACAACAAAATAAACCTTAAACCTTGGAGCTACTACTACATCAAAGAGCTTGGAGAAGTCTTTGTGGGCAACACGATGAGGTCACAACAAGTAAAAGAACATCTTTGAGAAAGAAAACGAGTCTACGTCAGCTAAACCTTTCATAATTTAAAGAACAAGTTATATGATTTCGAGGTTGTCTGCGCAGTGTGATATAAATCCTCACCATAAAACCTTTCATAGTTTAAAGAATAAGTTATATGATTTCGAGGTTGTCTGCGTAGTGTGATGTAAATCCTCACCATAACTTTAGGCTTTTGCAACAATTATGTTGTGCAATATATGTCTTAACTCTTTTAAGATTCGGAGGTGATCGTTCGGTACGACGTGAACCCTCATACTTTCCAGGCTATGTGCATGATCAAATATCGTGCAAATGTAATCCTTAAGAAATAAAAATGACAGGATGAAACATCAAGTAATATTACTTTTAAATTGAAACCAAACCATAGGATAGTTTGGGAAGTCACTGAGATTCTCCTCGAGATCTGTGACATCCCCTACTTCTCGTTCCTTTTAATTCATAAAATAATTGCCCCTAAATGATATACTCCCATTTGATTTTCCCTATGCCCAACATTGAAAACTAAATTTTACAATTGAAGATGAAACCTCTAATCTTCATCAAGAGTTTTCTTAAGCGTCTTCGATTGCTTATGATGTAATTAACTATAAAGGTTTGCTTCTGTAGGGAACTAAAGAACCCAGGTAATATAAACTCTATCTAATCCTTATATTAGATAAGGAACTTATCGGCCAAAATATAAAAAAGTTCACTGACCAAAAAATTATCATAAATTTTTTAATGTATGTAATTAAGCCTCGATAACAAGAAATATGTCTGTTTATTGGGATATGTGTGTTGTTTGTGGTGTGAGCCTCTAAATAGATGGAGCATGGTCTCTAAACTCTTGAATAAACATTGAAAGCATCTCATGTCAGAATCATCATCACATAACAATGAGCTTTCCTAGATAAGAATGAATCAATACTAATCCTAAACTCCTACTCGAAGCACGTACTGGGAGGTCTGAACGGATGTCTTGGACAATGGAAGACTGAAGACAATCCCATGTCATTTAAGTGGACATCCCACACATATGACATCAAAAGTGATGCCAACAACCTTATGCAACCCATCACAGGGATATTCAGACCTATCATGTGCATACTACCGGGATGTGGAGGCCACCAAAACCCCTGTTCCTCCTCCACGGACCTGCTTTATTAGTGAGTAGATTGATAAACTTCATATTAGCATAACCTTGAATGATCGAAAGATATACCTCATTAGCCTTCAGTGCACCCACATTGAACATTGACATTGTGATCAATTTTCCTGGCCAACTCTTTTGTTTGATTAATTCATGGGCAGGGTTAAGGGTAGCCGTGTCCCACTTGAACGGTACACGTCTTTTTTGGAGGTCAGGCCTAGCAGAGGTGTCGGTGATAATGATGGAAATGGAGATAGTGAGGAATACACGGGCGATGAGCTCTAGATGTTCCATCCCCTTCCTGTAAGAGAGAATGAAAAAAAAATTATGTTTCTTATATTTTTCTTTGTGTTGTTTTCTAGTTTAGATAGTGGAACCTGCTAGGTATTCTGATGAATGCACCCACATGAGGGGATTATTATTATTACTATTATTATTTCTATGACCCCCTACATGGGGAATAATTTTATGGAAGTGCCCCTTGCGTGATGTTGATTTTTTATTTTTGTTATCATGGATGTGCCCCAGAAGAGGCCTTATTTTGAAGATTGTCACTGCATCTTCCTCCCCCACAGTGGATGGAATTTATGTTCAAATATGTTTTGGTAGTACATGTGGGAATAGTGTACTTTCTTAATCATTATGCCGAGTATGATTTCACCCTTCATAGGTCCAGTCCGGGAGTCTTGGCGTTGTCTAGAGTATCACAATTACTATATATCAACTTTTTGTGGCTTGCTAGACCCAAAGTTGTGCTTAGAAACATTTGCCACGTCAAAACCATGATGTTTGATCTGACACCTTGACATCATGATACTTTCAAGCTCCGTGAGTCCTGATTCGATGATCATTATTATAGGCGTTGTCATGGCTTGGAGACATCAACGATGTCACAACACCACATCCAATGTCGCAGTGTTTTATAATTCATATCCTAATGACGAATCTTGATTGGGTAGATGTTATGATTGCTTGCTCACATGA